GAAAGAAAGAAAAAGAAAAAGAAAAAAAAGGAAGACATAAAACAGAAATTTTACACTTTTTGTTTTGACAAAGGCAATATCAAAGACAAAAATGTGAGTAGGAATGGCTGGTGAAATCTTATTGATGTCTGTTATTTTTCCAGTCAAATAAAATGTCCCCAGTACCAAAATAAATAAAATGAAGGATTCTCACAATCATTACTTCTTTAACTATCAGTGCCTAGAAAAATAAATAGAAATAATTTCCAAGCTTAGGATATTGACACTTTTACTTTTCCCTAATTCTGACACTTATTTGAAGGCTCTGATAGAAGGGTCTGAAATTCTAGACAATTTATTATTTACCAACTTATGTTGTGTCTTTTAATGAAGGATTATTATTTAGAACTCTGATACAATTTGTAAAGTCTTCAGTACCACATTCAATGTAAAGTAAATGTTCAAATGGTTTCATATTATTATATCTAGGAGGAGCAATGAGGAAATGGGGTATTCCACTGTAATATGTGAGGTATCATGGGAAAGTGCAGAGAAATGCATTTATAGGCACCTCTTTGAGTTGATGACATCACCCTTGTCTACTCTTTCCTTATGATTTCTACATTTACAAATTCTTTACAACTCAGATTCTAAGGTCTTTTGCAGTCTCTCTTAATTAAAAAATATTTTTCTTCTGAATGTACCATACGCACATCATCATTTTGGTATGGACTTAAATTGCATACACGTTTTGTTCTGTTTGTTCTTATGCTATATTTTTACTTAATCTACTAGGCAGGAGAGTAAAGCATTGGCAAGCAACACGTACCATCTGATTGACACTGAAATTCTCTAAACCTTTCCTAAATGACTAGGAAGTGGGCAAAACTTTCTTCAAAACTGAGTGCTTTTCTACATGAGTTAGATAAGCCACAACTCAGCTCTTCAAGATTTGGAATCCTGATACTGGAAAACAACAACTTGAGGAGAAAAGCAGGGAGATGGATCCCCAGGAATCAGGAAGGATCTGTCGGGAAAACTGAGACTACAGAGAAACTGAAGAGATAGAATACAACTTGGACAAGAGAAACAACAATATGCACTTTCCTCCTGGCTCCTGGCTCATGTCTCATAAGAAAGGAAGACCAAATCTATGGACAAAATGAAAGCAGGGGACTCCAGAGGGGTTCCAGAAGAAATGCAGTGGTACAGTGGACCAGAGATGCTGAGTGCTATAATAGCTGTTGAATGAGTCCAGTCCCGGTGTCCACCATATCCCCTGGAGAGAATGCTTGGTCAGATGTGATTCCAGAGAGGGGTTGACTGAACCCAGGACTCAGAGCAGCCATAGGTTAGCTTCATTTCAGGGCTCCCAGCTTTACACACCCACAGTGACTGGGCAGAGACAGTCATAGGAGACAGCTGTTGTCAGGGAGCCATGGTCAGGTTGGCAAGAGACACCCCTGAAGTGTTTAAACAAAAGGGCACAGGCCCCACCCACACAACCCAAGGTCAAGCTTAGTGTAAATCACTCTAGATTTGGAAGTAGCAGAATTGGTACCCTCACCCAAATCCTACTAGTAACTCCATCCATCATGCATCCAAGATCTGATGGCCTTCTTTATATACCACTATGGGCAGAGACATATCTTAAATTGGAAATTCCCCTAAAATTGTAGATCCCAGAAAAAAAAAAAAAAACATACATTTAAAATCAGAGAAAATTCTTTTTTTCTTTTTGTTTTTTCTTGTTGTTTCAGCTTGTGAGTGAGTGCATTGTTTTTAGCTTTTTTATTTTGTTTTGTTTTGGTTTTCTTTGCTTTCCTCCTTTTTCCCCACTAGTTTGTGGCATCAGAATTTTCCTTTGTCCTTTTTCCTTGTTTCTTATTTCTTTTTCTTACTTCTGTTTTGTCTATTTGTTTGCTTTTTATCATCTCCCTTTTCATTTTCTCCCTTTAATTTTTATCTCTTGTTTTTACTTTCTATATAATTTCTCTTTTTCCCTCTTTTTCTTTTATTTTCTATTTTTCATTAATTTTTTCTCTTACCTTTACCTAATTGTATAAATATCTTTCTATTCCCCAAAAAGATTCATTGCATTATTTCTCTTCCTCCTTCTCCTATCATGGACTTTGTCTCAAAATTTTAATCTTATATTTCCCCATTCCCAAATTCTGTATCATTACTAGTGTAACCATAAAGCTTTGTTAATCTTTTGATAGTTTACTCTGTAAAATTACTGTTGAATTCTATTCTGCCATTATCAGAGATATAGCTACTACATTTAGGACATATTAGCTATAAGTCAATACCTGAGTTGTCTTAATGTTTTTACCATAATTGCTGATTTCTTGTGTAGGACTAAGAGTAATACATAATATGGGGGAAAAATGAGAACCAAGGTCTGTCATGTAAAGGTACAAGATCCCAGTGATGAATGTAACTCAATTAAAAAGTACCAATAAACTCAATTAAAAAGTAATACATATAGGTATGTTAATATTTAATTTGTATTGTACAATACTATTATAGCTGATTCACTTGATATTAACAGGGTCCCATAATTGTTGCTATTTTTCTGTGAGCCAAAGTTCAGATTACCTTTGTGACATTAACAATACTAGAGTACATTCCCAGAGAACTTGACTGCCAGACCAACTATACTGCATTCCCCCCTCCCAAATTAACCAAGGTAGTCAGATCTTGGGGCAGTGACAAAGGATTATAGTTAGTCAGGACCAACATAAATGAATAAAAAGCAAATAAAAAGATCTCTATACCAGCAACAAAATCTTTAGACTACAATCATCCACAGAGCTCAGTACAAAACAAAACAAACAAAAATAATAGATACATGAGAATATAAGGCAACAAAATACCTTCCAAAACTCCCAATTCCCCCAAAACCAATCCAGGACACTAAGGGGCAGAATAGCATAAGCCACACAACCATGTTAGTAAAAAGGATAACACAGAAGGATAGAAAACAGCTCATACTATTCTCTCCAAAGCCCACATGTAGAATTAGAGCAGATATAATTAACAGATAATGGAAGTGATAACCAAAAAGATCCAGGAGCTTCTACACCAATAAAAAGATGGAAAAACTAAGCAAAATTATACAAAATGTGAATGATAAGTTTACCAAAGAATTAGTCCATGAAAAGGTTTCAATCAAACATCTAGGAGGTTAAAAAGCATAATGAAAATATGGGCAGCAGAACTGACCAATGCAAGTACAATGTCTTAGTAACTTTTCTCTTTGTTGAGACAAAATACTTGACATTTACAAGTTAAAGGAAGAAAGATTTATTTCAGCTTACAGTTTGTAAAGGTTTCAGTCCAGAGTCAACTGGCTCTGAGGTAGGGTGGCTCGCGGTATGGCAGGCAGAAGGTAGAAAGCAGGAGAAACGAGCTTGCCTTTCCCTTTTATCCCAAACAGGTTACAAATCTTTTGGGTGACGCCACCCCCACATAGGGTAGGGCTTCTGCATTCAGTAAATCAATTCAGCCACACCAGAACTATGCTGACTAATCTGTGGACCGATTTAGTACCACACGCCCTTAATCCCAGTATTACACATCCAGCCAGCACCAAAAAAACCCCACCTATGAACACATGAGGCTTTGGGGGTACATTTAGATATAAGACATAACATACAGGATTTCAGAACTAGAAGACAAGGATGCCTTTAATGAGAAACTACTCAAAGACATCTTAAAAGCAAGAGAATATGAAAAATGAATCCAACAACTTCTGGATAATGCTAGGAAGACTAATAACATCTGGAATAAGTGAAA